ATCAGGTGTATCGTCGAGGTTTAGCGCATATCGCCATTAGTAATAATGTGGAATTATTGGAGCTCGGGATACGGATGTTGATGTTGGTGTTTTCTCCTAACTGGAGGTGTTGTTCGCAGGCGTTTCGTAGCCGGGCTAGGCAACATCATCAGTACAACTTCGTTGAAGCCTAATACCTTTTGAGATAACTTATTTCTCAGACAACCTCCACTTCCTATGGAGAGGCGTTATCGATTGACAGTAGTCGCCTAGGTAATGTAGGGGTTTACAAGGCCAATATTGATGGCACTCACTGATTACTCAGACTCTTAATGAACTGGCGTTTAAGCGATTGTCACGCTTTATTATATTGGCATCCGAGCGTCCAGCAAGGTAGCCAAAGACAATAAGATCCATTTTTTGAGTTTGGATCATGCGGTAGAATTCGTAGGTAATTGACTTACATTTGGATGGCGTCCCTAATTAACGTCTAGCCCTTATTGAGTCGTTCCGAGCTCGGCTTAAGGGTTCCACTTCAAAGGCCATTTTGCAACCATTGCTGGAATGGTATGTAGGCATCCGTTTCCGGTGGTTTTGTGTGGTTGTTTACCAAGCGTATGGGAGATCGTGCTCATAACAAAGCGTGGTTCGCATGTAGTATCAGTGTGTTTCCACTTTTTATCTACATGTCCTCTTTGACTCAAAACTCGCTGTTGTTTTATCAGGTCGCTCGCTCAGTTGGTTTAGAAGGGCGAAAAATGGTGTACCGACGAGGATATACGTTTGTTTTCCTGAGTTTAATTTGTGTGTTTGCGATCCCACGAGCAATTTACCTCTCACGAAATCAATCTTCGCATCCACGCACCTGAGCAGATCGACACCGATTATAATCTCACTTATACCTTCGACCCAGAACATCTCATGGGTAACAGTCACCCCGGGACTCTGAGTGGCATACTCCCAACCGCACATACGGTCAGATTGCACGGTTTCACCGGAACCTCTTCCACCTGAGGCATAATGAAAATCCCGGCGCCCGTATCAATAATACCCATCTTTGACCGTTCCAAAGTGAAAACCTCAAGCATTGGAACCCCACGGGCAGTCGGATTAAAAAGAGAAAAACATGAACGAATGTGGTGGTTTGGACAAGAACGGGCGAAATGCCGTATACCGTAGCAACTGAAATATCGCTTTGGTCGAACTGGAACCCTGAAACGTCTCCTTTCTTGTCATCAGCCCTTAAGTTCCACCGTCAGTCTTTTAATTTTTTCAAATATTTCTACAATATTATCTTCAATTTCGGCAGGATCCACCCGAGCAACTACGTCATCGTGCTGATAGGCTTGCGCAATCGAAATTAGGTGGTCTGCTTTCATTCACACCGCACACCATCGCAAGCGTCAGTTAGTCTTGTAGTGGAAAAGATACTACATATACGAATAATAATGAAATAAACGGTACATGGAACGGACTCATAGAAGGATTGTCCGGCTGGTTGATTGGTCCTGTTCTTCAGATGCGGGGCTCCGGTTGATAGTGTGCAGTATTGCTGAAATGGATGGCTGCGACAGTTAACGGACCGCTTGACGATAATTGATAATGTACGCATAATGCTTCAGCAACACTCGGAGAACACGTGCGCAGTTACGAATAGAATTTGTATTGTGTTGTTACTTATTTTGTACATTAAAGCAAGCTGTACAATCATGTCATATAAAAGTGGATAGAAAAGTAAGACACTACAGTACCCATCTTCTAGAGTGAAAGTGCAAACGGTATACTCGATAAAGGCAAGAGTAAAAGCGATTTGTTAAAGAAAACTAGCAGGAAAGTGTACTTTTCTACCGAGACGTGTTGTACGTGGAACGGTTGGAGGTGTAAATTCGTGTGCAGAAGGTGGGATAGTTGGAGAAGTGTGTGTTTTGTCTGTTAGGTGACTTGGTGTGGGTGCTGTATCGGAGATGACTGGTGAAGGAACAGCATGTGGGGATTGCGTGATGGGTAAATCGAATGTTGATTCAAGATACGTGGGTTTCAAACGATTGATGCTTACCGAGTAATGCATTCTCTTACGATCCAAAACAAAAAAATATCGGAACGAGAAATTACTCTGTACGGTCCGGTGTATGATGCTTGGAGCGGTCGATGTGTAGCGTCGCAACGAATAACAATGTGGCTGCATGTGTGCAAATCGTCAGACACTTTTGCAGCCCACTTGTGTTGGCATGTTAGAGTTGGTTTGGTGTGCACCATATGGTTTTGTAATCGTTCGGCAAACGTCGATGGAGAAACAGGGTTTGAAGCAATTCACCTGGTAGACGAAGGGTAGTGCCGTAAACCAAATCTGCCGCCGTATATCCGTGGTCTTCTTTGGTGACAGAGCAAATGCTTAGTAGGGTGATTGGAAGACGTTCGGTCCAGCGAGGATCTTCGTGAGCGCGAAGTGAGGCTTTGAGTTGTCGGTGAAAACGCTCAACTAAGCCGATTGCTGCGGGGGTGATAGGCAGTGGTGCGAATGTTTTCGCAACAAAGCAGCGGCGTGCAATCACGAAAGAGGGCAGATTGCAATTGAGCGCCTCTATCAGTGGTTACAGTGTGGGGAACACCGTAATGGGAAATCCAGTGTGACAGGAAATGTTACGCGACGGACTCGGAGGAAATGTCTGCCAGGGGAACGGCCACCGGCCAATGTGTGAAACGGTCGACAAATGTTAACAGATATACCTTAACATTCGAAGTGGGAAGTGGGCCTACAAGGTCAATGTGAACATGAGAAAAACGAATGTCTGGGACGGGGAAATGACCTGGGGAAGAAACCGTGTGACGGTGAATCTTATTTCGTTGGCACTGTAAACAAGATTTTCCCCAATATTTGACGTCTTTGTTCACGCTGGGCCAAACGTAACAATTGGCAATCAGACGTAACGTAGAACGAACACTGGGATGTGAAAATGAATGAAAATGTGTTAAAATGGGTTGACGCATACTAAACGGTAAAATGGGTCGAGGGTGTCCAGAGGAAGTATCACAGAAAATGGTGAATGATGAATGTGGAAGAGGGACTTGCGTGCAACGTAGTGAGGTGGATTTGAGCAGATCTCCGAAACGAGGGTCAGTGGATTGATGTTGGGAAAAATGGTCTCAAGGCTGATATCGGATGGTGTAACCATACTGTTGATGTTGAGCCGAGAGAGAGCGTCTGCGACGATGTTGTCCGATCCGTTGATGTGTCAGATATCGGTGGAAAATTGAGAGATCAAATCATAGTGACGAATTTCGCGCGGAGAGTAGCGATCAAAACATTCACGGAAAAGAAACACCAGTGATTTGTGGTCACTCATGATGATGTATTGACGACCTTCGAGGAGGTGGCGAAAATGTCGTACGGCAAAGTATACTGCCAATATTTCGCGACCAAAGGTGCTGTAATTAGTTTGAGATGAGGAGAGCTTCTGTGAATAGAAAACCAAGGGTTGCTTGACATTTGTGACCATCTGATGAAGTGTCGTTCCAGCGACCTGATTCGACGTGTTGGTATGCAGCACCAATTGAGTGGATGGAGATGAGTTGAGGTGTGACAACATGATGGCGTCCTGGAGGGCTAATTTGGCGGTGTCAAAAGTTTTAAGCGCCTCAGGAGTGTAGAAAATGTCTTTTACGTTACCGCGGAGCAAATGAGTGAGCGGATGAAGTATAGCGGAACAAGCTGGGATAAAACGACGGTAGTAATTAATCAAACCCAAAAAAGATTTAAGTTGTTTGACAGAAGTTAGACGGGGGAGGTTCTGAATTGCTTGAACCTTAGAAGACAGTGGAATAATGTCTCGGGAATTAATCTCATCGCCTAGAAATTCTAAGGATGAGACACCGAAAATGGGGTTCAATGTGAGACCATAATGTTTAAAACGTGAAAAGAGAGTGCGCATGTGGAAGCTGTGCTCTTCGGGTGAAGTGCTAACTATTAAATTGTCAGCCAAGTAAACGAAAACAAAGCCAAGACCTCGAGTAACTTCGTTCATAAAACGTTGAAAAGTTTGAGCTGCATTACTTATAGAAGGGATGTCCGGCTGGTTGATTGGTCCTGTTCTTCAGATGCGGGGCTCCGGTTGATAGTGTGCAGTATTGCTGAAATGGATGGCTGCGACAGTTAACGGACCGCTTGACGATAATTGATAATGTACGCATAATGCTTCAGCAACACTCGGAGAACACGTGCGCAGTTACGAATAGAATTTGTATTGTGTTGTTACTTATTTTGTACATTAAAGCAAGCTGTACAATCATGTCATATAAAAGTGGATAGAAAAGTAAGACACTACAGTCTCTCATCTGTGCCGGCATGCTCTGTATGAACCCGTTTTGGACCAGCCTCTCCCGTGTTTTATTGTTTACCTCTGCCAGGCCCAGATTAATTTGTCTTTATGTATTGGTAGTGCACCAACCGGTTTTCAGTCCGGTTGTACTCCGCAGCGTAAAATCGGTTCATTGCGTTCTCGCGGTCACCCTACTTTGAAAACTCCGCCACCAATGCGGTTTTCAAATTCTCATAATCAAGGGCTCGGTTGCTTTCCAAATTCAAATAGTAAGCGATCCTCGCTCGCCCGGAAATCAGTGCACCCAACGCTGTGACCAGATATGCATTCCCTTTGATGCCGTTGCTTGATGCGATTAATTCAAAATCGCGAATCCACATCTCCGTCTGCAAACGCGTTCGGCCAAGGTACCTTCATTGCATTGTGCTCACTTGGGTGACGGCACCAATGTAACGAGTAGGCGAGTCAGCTGGCAAAACGTTTATTGATCCAATTTCAAAAACAACCGGTCTATGCGTTCGATTATATGCAATCAATTCTCAACCGCGCGGCAGGATTATTCATGCCTCATTCTGTTGGTCCATTCCTGTTGGTTTCGGTCCGCACTTGGCACGTACGTTTTCTCTTCTTCGGCGTGTCGTTCCGACTGGTTTGACCCGATCGTAGCGCTAGATACGTTGATCGACAGCTCCGACGTTGTGGTATTCAGTGGATATCTTTCTGGCCAGATGCGGATTGTCCCTCGGGCTGTAATTGCTGATTCGTTCGTTTCGAGTGGTAGTCGACATTGTCTCGCGAAGTACTTCCAGCCGCTACGTCTGTGCACTTGATTGGATCGGCCCTATTCTTGATTCGTTCGCCAGCCTGGACTTTCTTGGAACCACCTTCCATTACAATATTCGTGAACAACTCTTCGTTTCCACTGGTTTCATTTTGGGCGCTAGTAATGTGGAGCCTCTCATTTCTGTTCATGATTTTAAATTGTTTTCTCCGGACGCTAAACTACAGCCATCCACTGTCACTATAAGTGGTATCACTGGATATTCATGGCCTGTTGTTGGTTCTTGTGAGATTTCAGTTAGTGATGAGAATTCTAAAATTGCCACCTGCACATTCATTATAATCAAGTCTGGCCCCTCCATACTAAGCTTGAAGGCTATGCAAGTACTAAATGTCAACCTATCCTTGTTAACCTCTGTTGATACTGAAAATGAACTGAAAAAATTTGATTATTAAATGCTCAAAGGCCACTGGTGCTATGTGAATTCCCCAGTGAAACTACCACTTAATGGCGATCCAGTTTTTCTCAAACGCCGGGTTATTCCATATGGGCTTCGTGAACCCGTCATGAATGCGCTGAACAATCTGCGTTCCAAAGGTGTTACAGAGAGGGTGGTGTCGTCAGCATGGAGTACACCGATCATCACACCACTCAAGTCGGATGGCAAGACTCCCAGAATATGTAGTGACTACCAAATCATCCTGAATCCAAGACTGTTAAAACAGACTTGTATAACTGCTGAACCATAGGACATTCTGAATAAGTTGACTGGCTCTGAGGTCTTCTCCAAGATTGACTTGAAAGATGCTTATCTACAAATCCCGTTAGACGAAACCTCCTGCACTTTGAAACTATTAATACCCCTTTTGATTTGAACAGATTTCGCCGTTTGGTTTATCCATTTCTCCTGACATATTCTAACAAGTTATGAATGACATTACTAGCGGTATGACTGGTGTTGAAGTGTATCAAGATGACATTATTGTTCATGCTCCTGACAAGTCCACTCATGATGCACGATTGCTTGAGCTCTTTCGTAGGTTTTCTGATAAAAATGTTGCCGTTAATCCTAAGAATTGTTTAGTTTCTGTCTCGCATTTTGAATGTCTTGGATATCTAGTCAGTCATTTCATGATGAATCTTCTTTAGATTCTGAGCAACTCGATACGACTAATGAACAGAATGTCGAATAACAAACTGTCACCGAAGAATTATCTGTGAATAAGTTAGCCGTACGAAGATCTGAACGATTGAGTGCGAAGCTGCGACTGGATTACAGAACCCCTATGGTCAATTCAAGGTGCGGCGAGTGTGATGTATGAGACCTACCTCGATACAGTTTTTGTACAATTTAAATGCATTGAATGCGCACAGCATGCGAATCAAATAGATTGTGTATGCTATTCCATTCCGAGTTGTTCTATTTCGGTATTGCGCAAATTCCGGAACCACATTTAGAATACTATTCATAATACTACATTTTTTCATCATTGGTTGAATTTTTCGATACACATTAAAAAACACAAAAACGAGAAAACTTCATCTCTTGCTATTGTGTTTGTCGTCACCTTATCGATCAGTTTAAAAAAGGGCTGCTTCGACCATCGATCAGGATAACGCAGCAGGAAAGAAGTTTGGCACGCTTCCCCGTACAGCTCCAGCGCCATAAGGGTATATGTGGTGATTGCTCATGAACAATGAACTCTTTTGTTTTATTGAACACGATATCCTTGTACATTCCGAATTTCCGCTCATTACAGTTCCATTCCGTCGCTGAGCTCTGTCTTCTGATTTCATTTCGAGTCCTAGTTCTGGATTGGACTATTACTGCGTGGAATGCGATACGTATACGAATTATCAGTCCGAGTGCTAACCACAACAACTACATACCATAGGTTGATTGTACCAACCAATCAGAAACCGTGCGGCCCGAGATAGAAGCTGAACAACGACAGAAAAACTAGAACGTTATTAGCAGAGGCCCGTATGATCAATGAGCTTGTTTTGTACATATTATTTAACCCCTTATTTATTTCAATAAACGAACTACTACTCCTGTGGCCTTTTTTCTCGCGTCCCGGTTACGTGGGATATTGCGTGCCAGTGCCAGTGTGATCCAGTGTTTACTTGGCATCCGTGACTATCAATCGGTGATTCGTATTCCGCATTCATTGCGTACAACTACTGCTGTTACTAAAGCTACTACATTTATCCATTTCTCGTGCCATATTCCAACAATTTATGAATGACATTACTGGTGGTATGTTTGGTGTTGAAGTGTATGAAGGTGATATATTTTGTCCATGCTCCGAATAATTCCACTCATGATGCACAATTACTTGAGCTCTTTCGTAAGTTTTCTTATGAAAATTTTGCTGCCAGTGCTCAGAAGTGTTTATTTTCTGCCTCTCATGTTGAATGTCTTGGATATCTAGTTGATGGCAATGATTATAAACCTGACCCAAACCGCCTGCCATCTAATAAAAGCCCGATCACCGTCCAACGTACACGAACCAAGATCACTGATCGGAGCCTTACAATACTATTCTAGATCTATCCCTGTATTCAGTCTGAAAGCTGCACCCCTATTTCTTCTCTCTTCTTCTGACAGGTTTGGACTGATGTTCATGAACATTGCTTATATGAATTGCTGTGTGAATTTCCTGCAGACCAATGCTTTAGTTAATCCATTCAATTCCCAGATTCACTCCACTGTTCTTACTGATGCATCACCTGATGGCACTGGTGCTATTTTTGAACAGAATGGGCATCCAATTACTTGAGTCTCAACGGTTAACAACAGCTGAAAGAGGGTATACCCAATCTCATCGCGAAGCCTTAGCTGTAGATTGGGCAGCGTAGCGCCTCCCCAAGTTCCTTTTGGTCAATCGTTTCAACATCGTTACCGATCATGAGGCCTTGAAACTTATTTTCGACCCTGGGAAATCCTCATTCAGAAGCTCTTCAGCTATGGTTCAGCGTTGGAGTATCTCACTCAGTGCATATGACTACACAGTTGAACATCGCACTGCCAAACGCATCCGATACGTGGGTTATTTTTTGCGTCAATCGCCACCCGGATGTGACTCAGAGGACATTTCTCAATCACTACTGGTACAAGCTCTTCCAGTGAGCCGCCAAGAACTTATTCGTGACACAAGTCGTTAGTTCTCTGCTGTGAGGAAGGGTTGGAATGCACAGACCCGGAACGTAGTGCATCGAACGTCTGCAATGAGGGACTTATGAGCTATATCAGCTACATTTATTATTAAACAGTAATTTACCTCTTAAATGT